GGACATAATCTTTCCTGCTTCTTTTGCTTCATCTTGCTCTCCTAACGATTTCTGTCCAATTTTTTCATTTCCTCTTCTTCTTCAATAGAGAAGAGAAGAATATCAGGCAAGTTTTGTTGCCTGCAAAGCTGTAGCAGCCAAAAACACAGCAATTATTTACCATTGCAACCAATGGCTCTAACAGCTTATTCCCACAATGGGGTGTGGCACTTGTCAACGTGATGCAATGATGATTCATATCCTCAATTAAAACCATGAATAATTATCGTGAAAACCAAGAATACAATTGAGATAAGAGAGAGTGAAGAGAGTTTGTGAAAGAGAAGGTGATAGACGCTGCGAAACAATGTACATGTACATGTACATGTCTGTTTTGCATGTACATGTACATGTTCATTTACACTTTACTTGTGTCATGCTCTTGTGTTGTTTTAGATGCGGTCATACTTTGGGATGTTGATGGCAAATTTCAGATCAAAGTCACTCAAGTTACTAACCTGAATGTTAGCAAGGAAACATCAGTAAGAATGGAGAGAGAGGAAGGAGGAGGAAGAGAGAGGGGGAGAGGGAGGGAGGAAGAGGGTGAGAGAGAGAGAGAGGGAGGGAGGGAGTGAGGGATGAAAGTGCAATAAGAAGAAAAGGATAGGAAGAGGAGGGAGGGAGAGTGAGAGAAAGAGTTGAAGAATGATTTAAGAGTAAAAATACATGTACATGTACATGTGTACATTGCATGCAAGAGCAATAAAGAAGCTGCATGATACTGTGTATTCTAACACTACAATTAAGTTACAATGTACAATGATTTATTTTCAATACAGATAATGGTGTATGCTGGTTTATATCACGGAAGTGAGAATCTCTGTAAAGCTGAGAGTACATGACCAGTACAGCAAGAAACAGTTGACACTCAACCTGTTTGGAACTGGAATGAAAACATTGAATTTGCTATTGATGTCAAGTAAGAAATGTACATGTATATTCATGTAGTACATACATGTACATGTATTTGCACTGTTAGATCTAAATGAGGTTGTTTTTAGCCTACATGTATAATAAATGTCCTAAAGTCTCTAGCTTAGTCTCCCAAAAGTTATTCTTATATCTAACATGTACATGTTTATGTATATGCACTTGTTTGACAGTCACATACAAATGTACCTGTGTACAATATGTTCTGTCTTTTACATTAGTATTTCTTTCCTTGTCTTATTGTCTCTCACTATGTTTTCACTTCTTTTATTACATTATCTGATTAAATTTGGATTTACATGTACAGTACATGTATTATTAACTTTTTAAATGCATTGTAGCTAGGAATTGTGCATGCATGCCAGGCCTACATGTACTGTAGAAAGTTTGTGCTGATTTTGGCAATTATTGATTTTAGGAATTTTTGAAGTCACAAAAAGTTGACCAAGTAAAACAATGTCTATAACACAAGGTTATTTCTTACAAAATGGTTTGCCATTTTATTGCATTTTCTAATGCATTACATGTACATACCGTAAATGTTCAAA